AAAGCGCAGAATTTGAGGAAACTTACCGATAATTCACGCAAGAGTTGATCCACAACGAAGAGACGACGAAGCTTTTTTAGGGATTTACGGAAACGATTCCCAAATTATAAAACCTTTTCTTGGAGGGGGCGACACCCAGTTTGGGCCTTGTGAACGAAATGTTGGACCGTTCTTAAAAAGCCCATATCTATACTAGCGCGAAGACTGAAAAATCTATGGCTAATTTACACATATAAACAGTTTATAGTAATTTTTTGCACATATACGAAACAATAAACTTAATAGCACATACACGATGATTTGGTAACTTAATTTGCCTTATACATCAAAGTTAATCCATTAGCAAACAACTCTCTCCACTCACCCCGAAATTGAAGGGATAACAATAAAATCCCTAAAAATAATCACAAATTGAAAACGTCCATGTTTTTTCTTGATAAATAAAAAATCAAAATCAGAGTCCCTCTCTGTCTATATCTCTATCTCCATTTCTCTCCAGCTGATGTGTTAAAGAAATCGACACCCATTCCTTTAGTGCATGTTTTGTCAAAAATCTTTATAAGTGAAAAGAAAAAAAAAAGCCATTGGGCCTTAAAATTTTTTCAAATATTAGTACCTTATTCATCTTTATAACTGGTATATGTCGGAATTGGGAATACACTTCAAAGGAAATAATGTCTATGTATGATATTTATACAAATTAGAAACAAACTTCACCACAAACAACAAGTGCATGCTTATGTAACAAGCATATATACCAAGAACAAAAACGCTAATATGAGAAGATATATATGTGTTTAACGAGAATATATACCACACATAAACACACTCATTATGTTTTATAAGAAGTTTACTTAAAAAACATATACCCCACATATAGCTCTCTTGTAAAATATTCTTGTAACTCAAAAATATTTACTGTAAATTTATATCTAGCTCATTTTTAGTTTATTGTGGATTTATAAATCAATATAAGAATAAAATTATAAATTTATATAAACCAATACAAGAATAACAACATAGATTTACATATAGTTTATTTTCAGTTTATTATACAAGAATATATACTGTAAATTTATATAAACCAATACAAGAATATATAACAACATAGATTTATATATAGTTTATTTTCAGTTTATTATACAAGAATATATACTATAAATTTATATATAGTTAATTTTTTAGTTTATTATAATTTATAAATTAATATTCATATATACACAAAACCAAACATTTATTCACAAACTAAAATATAAAAACAAAAAATATAAAAAACGATAAACAATATTCTTAACAAAAAATATACAATAATTAACTTAAAAAACAGAATGCTTCTTTGTTACTAGCATCAAATATACATACAATTCTTCCACAAAATTATTAAATAAAATATCTCCAAAAAGGTATTCTACTGAGACAAAACCAACCACCTGTGAAGAAAAAACTACAATAAACCTAAAAAATGTGAAGTCCAAAGTCAGAATCAATTCGTTTGCCAATCAATCTCGATTTCAAAATCACTAGGCTTGTCATACGCTGTAATCTTTGATCCGCCATTGTTACCCGACATAGCTAGTAAAGAAAAGAGTTGGGTAGCCGCGAAGCATCAAAATCGATGAACCAGCTATCGTTACCCGCCGTACAAACCTTTGGCCTCCGCCGTCAAAAGGCGGATATGGGAGGGTTGTCTTCGATTTGAGAAAAAATCCAGAAAAAGAAGAAAGGCGAGGAAACTAAGTGATACTTGCCGCCCATTCATATCTTGCTTTGTGAGATCAAATAGACAGAAAATAAAGAAAGAGAAAAGGGGTTTATTGTAACTCAATAACACGACACTGGACCTCTTTGTGCGTCAACACCGGCATCGCGCGGGGGGTTTCACTGGGTATGGGCGAGATTTTGGTTTTAGAATAAGATGAAATTGAGTGGAGAGATGGGGAAGTGGCATGTGAGAGATGATAAGGAAGTAAGCTTGTGACGTGGTAACTGCTCCCAATAACTCCTATTAATTACAAATAATATATTCTATTTCCTAAACTAAATGTCTCGTATGTTTGTAATTAAAATGGCATGAGAATATATATTTGCTAAGGCTTTTTATTGGATCGTGATTGTGCAAAAAATATGTTGCGGGATCGTTGGCCAAGTAATTTCCTCAAAAGGGGCTATTGTCTCTTATCTAATATAAAGATGTTTGGCACTGTAGCATAAATCTAAGTAAAATGGAGATCCACCGGCAAATCCATCGACGGGAGATACACTCTCGATAGATCAGTAGTTCATACACATATATTAATTACAGAATCCAACAATTATAAGAAATAAAAGTATAGCAAGTTTAGCAACACCCCCTCAGTTCGGAAAATGTCGGTTATGCAAGTGCTCACGATAGACTTGAGGGCTCGACTCCTCAGAAACCTAAAATTATACGAGAGAATTATCATTAATAAATTATCTTATTACTTGAAAGAATTATTGAGATTATCTCCCTTAATCAAAAAATTAATGATTAAGCACTTTATGAAATTTTCTTGTGGAACTTGACCTCTCGGTTTAAGGAAAAAGACTTGGAAAACGTTCACAAGGCTAAAATATGATTTCGGTACGAACAAACTGGTCGAACTGCTTAAAAATGGTTCAACGGCTCGGGGTTAGTGCACTGTCACCCGAGAGGCGGCACGCTCGCTGGCGTTGCTTACGCAGAGCGCTGGATCGCGCGCGCACCTGCTCGGAGACCCGCTACTGGTCGAGGCCTGGCAGCACTCACTGGCTTGGGGAGTTTGCGGGTTCAATGATGGCGGTTGCAGCTCTCGTGCGAGTCGACATTGGTCCCGTGTGTGGCCTCGCGTCTCTCCACACGAGCGTGCATGCTTGGATATTAATTGTAAAACTTGCATACGAATCAATATAATAATTTATGACATAAGTTGTAATAAATAATATATTTTTATTTTTAGAGATCATAACCAACTAATTGACTGAAAATTATTATTATTATTATTCATGTGTTGAAAATATGCTGAAGTCATGTGTAACCAAAAATATTGGGGCAAAAGTGTCCAACAATTATTATAACTAAAATATGCTAAAATCATGTTAAAAACCCGAGTTTCCAAAATAAAAAGTGATTGCAGATATGAATGTACATTACAGTACATTGAAAATTAAAATAAATGAAAAATATAATATATGTGTGTAACCGAAAAATCTGGGGAAACGAAAAGAGTTTAATTAAAAACTGTGGAGGCACACAAACTACACACCAAGCTTTTATTAATGATATTGACACATAGCACGCATTAACCTCGTCATAAACTTAACAACAGTTTTGCATGTGATCAAATCAGCTTTGGTTCACATAGAGTCATCAGTCTCATCTGAATCACTCCCATCAGGGTCAGGCTCCCCACCTACCATTCCAGTTTCAGGCACATCTGGCTTTGCTGAAGATGTTGAAACCACATTCTTACCAGTATTAGTGGCATCAAACTCTTCTGGAGCCATTTCAGCAGGTAATTAATCAGTCAAGGACCATCGAAAACTATATTCAAATTATGCGTTTATGCAATGAAAAAACCATAACACACACGTCATGTGAAACGATTGGACTACAATGCTAAAAAGAGAAGAAGCTAATGACAAGATTTAATGGGATCTTATACCTAATAACCAAGACCTTTTTTTGCATGGAGATGTATTATAAGAGTATCAAAGGATGACCATCGAATTACAACTTCATGCTCTAACCTAGAATACTTATCATTCACCAAAAAAAAAAAAAAAACTCAATAAAGAATGTTTTTGTTACTTCTATATAAGTAGAGAAAGTGCATTTTTGTTATCCACCCACATCAGAGATAGAAAGACATACACACATGAAGCGTAGCGAAATAAAAGGATATCAATATTCTCAGCTGTTCCACCAGCCATGATGTTTTGCAAATCTTTCTCGACACGACGGACAAGCTCCGGCTGCCAAACAACACAATATCGTTAATAAGTGTACTCGTAGATTATAAAATATATGTATCACAAATAAACATCACGCATTTGTAGACGGTAATAAATGGAAATCTTATGTTACATTTAAGTCAGGCTCCCGCCTAAATCTTCGCCTTCGAGCATCCCTCATTGGTGGAGTAAGCCCATGCCTGTACTCCCCTGTTTCTGCACTGTCACCCTCCTCTCTCACCATTATCATCTATCACGACTTTAAACTGTTTAACTTGACCTTAGCGAATACAAATATCTAGGAAAATTTGAACAATTATGTAACATACTACCTGGCCAATATCTGCAGTTTTGATCAACACATTGTCGTCATATGTTTTGTAAGACTCTACAACAGTGGGAAGATCCAAGAGGGATGCGGAGAAACTGTCATTCCCGATTACGAATTTGCCAGTCCTTCCATCATCTATAACAAAATAAATAAATAAAATGTAAAAAGGTGCAACAAAAGTCAGAAGAACGAGAACAAACTGGTGATATTTAAGCGCATGAACACTGAAGTATTGATAGAACATAAGTAATCACTATGTGAGGTAAACTTTGAATGTTCAAAGCGAAAAATCAGCATATCACCAGAAAATGACAAGTCCAAGGATTTGTCTTCAGAAGAAGAAGAATCGTTCAACAGACGCTCTATTCTCTCAGCAACTGCTGGGGGCACTCTCAGTATAAATTGCTCCTCCATATCCTTTCCTTCGTTTCTTAGCAAGACTTACTATTATTATCAGTAAAAGATCCAAACATGTGAAAATGTTGGAATCCACAACAATCACAAACCAGATAGATGATAGATAAGGACACTATACACAGGTAACAGTAGTGCAAACAATAATTTGTTAATTTTTCAAGCACCAAATCAGCTACCAATTTCTTTTCCAATATTTAGAAGTTAGAACCCATTTCAACGGGAAGAAGAATGTATTTGACCTTCAGACACTGTTCTATACAAAATAGAATCCATCAATTCAGTTTTTTCAAATTATAGAGAAACATTACAGGCTTTGCAAATTACATCACTAAAAAGAAAAGACTACTATCATCAACCGAATTTCTTCAACCCAACCTCATATGGTGCTATTATCTTAAGTCGTGAGAAAAGTATACCAAACACAAATAAATCAGCAGGAGAACCTCAACATGTGCATACAGTAATGCAGAACTCTACACAATTCAGTTGGCCGATGTTATATAGATATCTTACACAGGGCCAATCCTGATAGAGTTAAGGATGAAAGCAAACGAAAATAAGAGATAATTGATATCTTAAAAACAACTCGGGACGAATCCCGCCCAGCCTAAGGCCGATACTTCAGAAAGAAACTTTATGCCCAAGGTTAAAGCCGACAATCCTATTCAACAAAAGATACACTAGGCATCAATATTTGTCAACTTAAATAGAGTCCTAAACCTAATTATAACTCTAAACTCTAAGCCAATGGGCCTAAAAGCTCATTATTGAAAATTTGAAATTAATGAAATAACAATAGATCTTTCACAGGCAGAGTTCAAAAAATTGGGCTCCAAATTAATCACGTAAAGATAAAACTTTATTCGTATTATCAACAAAATCCATTAAAATCTAGAGTTGTAAATGCTAATCAAATGTTCACAATCTACTTATCTAACCATTTCTTTTTTAAAAACAATTTTTTCAAACCATTCAGTCTCCACAAAGCTAGAAAAAAAATATTTTACATATTACCCAATAACCAATTAATCATCCCAAAATACAAGCTTATGATTTATAAGTCATAAAAAAATGAGTCCAACGCAAGTTCATGTCAAGCTAAAAAAAATCTCTCTTTACATTATTATAACAAAAAAAAATGAATTTTTGATTTGGGAATTAAACATAAAAAACACTCCAAACATCTTATAAACATAAAGCATATGAAAAGCATAAATCTCCCCTTGACCAGACTGTATTTATGACAAATTAGCATCTCGAATAGCATCTTCAGGACAACAACCATTTTAGTTGAACAGGAAATCTGAAAGCACAGAAGACTTCAAAGAAGAAATTTTTAAAAAAAAAAAAAAACACTGAATACATTGGAAAATTCGACTTCAAATATTTTCTATTTTTTTCTATTGATTGATTTGACACTCAAAAATTCAAGATTGAAGCTTCGGTACAATGCGTAACAACACCAGGAGGTATACTCATTTACTTTGAAGGATGGGATAAGACAATATTATCAATCGTACTTTACAGCTCAGCAATCACTCGCTTGTTTACTTTGAAGGATGAAATTTACATAAATTAATCTCATCTTTATTAAGCGACAAGATAAACAACAAAAGACTAACTTACCCTTATGTACAAAATCGAATTCATTCTTCTCCCCCGAGCCTTCACTCATCTCCATTTTCATGAATTAAAAACGCAGAAGTTAAAAACGCAGAAGTTAAACATATTACACAACAGTGTAAGGATTCTTAACATCTAATCAGAAGTCGGTGTAAAAACAGAAATGAATGAAGCAAAACATGTTGACCATCCCGATTTCTTGAACCACATAAAAACGGGTCGGTGAATTTTCGATTAAGCAAGCACGAGACGGATAAAAAAACACACAAAAAAATAAATAAATAAAGAATCCAGTGAATGGGACACGAGAAGGATAAACAAACACACAAAAACGATCGATGTTATAGTCAATACAGAAGCCGACTAGAGCCAACCGAACGAAAGAATGGAGTTTCTGATTAGAGGGACCAAAAAATTCACGAATTGAAGCCTGAATTAGTGAAAACGAACAAAAAAAAGGGAGCGTAGATCTTACCTTGGCGGCGGAATGACGAAGACCTCCACCTCTCCTTCTGCAAGATCGATTTTGTTAGGTTAGGGCAAGATTTGGTCCAGCACACATTAATTGGTGGGAATCGGTAATTAAGTGGATGTGCAGGGGTGTATAGGTCTTTTGACATGCAGTTTATGAGGATAAAATGGGAATGAATAGTGGCGGATAAAAAAATCCGGGACTCTGGGCGGGACTAAAATTATCGCCGAATTAATGATATAGCTGTGAGGCCACATCGACGTCCAACTCATTTAGTCTTGTCCCAATCCTTGGATGTAAATAGTGGATATTGAGGGATATTTCACCTTATCAATCTTATCCGCCGAAGTACACGAGCCCAAGTTAAAGGATTAATTAATACTTGGAAAAGTCTAAATAACAAATCACTATCAGGACTACCCCTCCGTAGGTAAGCAATTTGCATAGAGGCAATTAAACTAAGGGATAACAGTTCAGGTCACAGCATAAAGCTTTATAGCGGACTTTTTCGACAATGATTTCACATCGGAATTCAAATTTCGATTTGCGCCGGTAGGAAAAGAAGATAATATAATCTAACGTGATGATGATGAGTAAAAGAAAAACCTATATTACCGTAATAGGAAGGAAGAACAGGTGAAAAAAACGCAGAATTAGAGTCAACTTACCGATAATTCTTGCAAGAGTAGATCCACAGTGAAGAGACGACGAAGCTTTTTTAGGGATTTAGGCTGAAATGATTCCCAACTTATAAGACATTTTCTTGTTGGAGGGAGCCACCCCACTTTGGGCCTTGTGAAAATAATAATAATAATAATAAAATAATAATAATAAAAAATCATTTTTACTTCGTAGGTATCGACTTTCGAATTAATCCGTTAGACAAATTCTGGATACTTTAGGTCGCAATTGGTTATATAATTTTTTATTTTTTATTTTTTTGTCTGAACGGGTGATCAAAGTAAAAAATCATAAAATTATTTTCTATAATATCTCATATTTTTCTCTTCAATTCCACTAAAATATTCAAATCATAATATTTATTATTGTATATTCTAATAAAACTATTATTCATTAAGTTAGATATTTCTGACTATAAATTTTACTAATTACTAGTTTATTATTTTTTATATTATATTTATTTTATAATCACTCACAAACTTATATATATCTCACCTTTTGAAAAAAATAATGTTTTGTACTTTTTCATCTCTATTCTTGAATAGACAAATTGTTTGCCAAGGAAATCCGAATAATTTATTTAATTAAAAACAAAAAAAATAAGTGGAGAAAAATAAAAAAAATAAAAAAAAGTGGAAAAAAATCAAAAGGCCGGATTCTCGTAATCCGTTTTTTCAAAAAAAATATTTTATTTGAAAAACGGATTTTCATAATCCGTTTTTTTTTATTATTTATTTATTTATTTATTTATTAATTAATAATATTAAAAAAAACAAAAAAAACGAATTTTAAAAATCCGTTTTTATTTTTTATTTTTTTTATTTTTTTTAATTAATATATAAAAAAATAAAAAAATAAAAAAACTTAAAAACGGATTTTGCAAATCCGTTTTTAATTTTTATTTTTATTTTTTGTTTTTTAAAAGATAACGGGCGATTACACAATAATTAACCGATATTGTACTAATTCCATTTTAATTGGACTAATTCGAGTTCGATTACACTATAATTGACCGAGATTGTACTAATTCGACTTCAATTGGACTAATTCGAATTCGATTACACTATAATTGACTGAGATTATACTAATTCGACTTCAATTGATAATTCGAGGTCGATTACACTATAATTGACTGAGATTATACTAATTCGACTTCAATTGGAATAATTCGAGTTCGATTACACTATAATTGACTGAGATTGTACTAATTCGACTTCAATTGGACAAATTCGAGGTCGATTACACTATAATTGATCGAGATAGTATTAATTTGACCGAGATGGCGAGATTGTACTAATTTGACTTCAATTGGAGTAATTCGAGTTCGATTACACTATAATTGACCGAGATTGTACTAATTTGACTTCAATTGGACTAATTTGAGGTCGATTACACTATAATTGACCGAAATTGTACTAATTTGACCGAGATTGTACTAATTCGACTTTAATTGGACTAATTCGAGTTCGATTACACTATAATTGACCGAGATTGTACTAATTTGACCGAGATTGTACTAATTTGACTTCAATTGGAGTAATTCGAGACTATAATTGACCGAGATTGTACTAATTTGACTTCAATTGGACTAATTCGAGGTCGATTACACTATAATTAACCGAAATTGTACTAATTTGACCGAGATTGTACTAATTCGATTTTAATTGGACTAATTCGAGTTCGATTACACTATAATTGACCGAGATTGTACTAATTCGACTAATTCGAGGTCGATTACACTATAATTGACCGATATTGTACTAATTTGACTTCAATTGGACTAATTCGAGTTCGATTACACTATAATTGACTGAGATTGTACTAATTCGACTTCAATTGGACAAATTCGAGGTCGATTACACTATAATTGATCGAGATTGTATTAATTTGACCGAGATGGCGAGATTGTACTAATTTGACTTCAATTGGAGTAATTCGAGTTCGATTACACTATAATTGACCGAGATTGTACTAATTTGACTTCAATTGGACTAATTCGAGGTCAATTACACTATAATTGATCGAAATTGTACTAATTTGACCGGGATTGTACTAATTCGACTTTAATTGGACTAATTCGAGTTCGATTACACTATAATTGACCGAGATTGTACTAATTTGACCGAGATTGTACTAATTTGACTTCAATTGGAGTAATTCGAGGTCGATTACACTATAATTGACCGAGATTGTACTAATTTGACTTCAATTGGACTAATTCGAGGTCGATTACACTATAATTAAACGAAATTGTACTAATTTGACCGAGATTGTACTAATTCGATTTTAATTGGACTAATTCGAGTTCGATTACACTATAATTGACCGAGATTGTACTAATTCGATTTCAATTGGACTAATTCGAATTCGATTACACTATAATTGACCGAGATTGTACTAATTCGACTAATTCGAGGTTGATTACACTATAATTGACCGAGATTATACTAATTTGACTTCAATTGGAGTAATTCGAGTTCGATTACACTATAATTGACCGAGATTATATTCGACTAATTCGAGGTCGATTACACTATAATTGAACTAGATTGTACTAATTTGACTTCAATTGGAGTAATTCGAGTTCGATTATACTATAATTGACCGAGATTGTACTAATTTGACTTTAATTGGACTAATTCGAGGTCGATTACATTATAATTGACCGAAATTGTACTAATTTGACCGAGATTGTACTAATTCGACTTTAATTGGACTAATTCGAGTTCGATTACACTATAATTGACCGAGATTATACTAATTCGACTTCAATTGGACTAATTCGAATTCGATTACACTATAATTGACCGAAATTGTACTAATTCGACTAATTCGAGGTCGATTACACTATAATTGACTGAGATTGTACTAATTTGACTTCAATTGGAGTAATTCGAGTTCGATTACACTATAATTGACCGAGATTGTACAAATTCGACTTCAATTCGACTAATTCGAGGTCGATTACACTATAATTGAACTATATTGTACTAATTTTACTTCAATTGGAGTAATTCGAGTTCGATTACACTATAATTGAGCGAGATTGTACTAATTTGACTTCAATTGGACTAATTCGAGGTCGATTACACTATAATTGACCGAGATTGTATTAATTTGACTTCAATTGGACTAGTTTGACTTCAATTCGACTAATTCGAGTTCGATTAAACTATATTTGACCGAGATTGTACTAATTCGACTAATTCGAGGTCGATTACACTATAATTGACCGAGATTGTACTAATTTGACTTCAATTGGAGTAATTCGAGTTCGATTACACTATAACTGACCGAGATTGTACTAATTTGACTTCAATTGGACTAATTCGAGTTCGATTACACTATAATTGACCGAGATTGTACTAATTCGACTTCAATTCGACTAATTCGAGGTCGATTACACTATAATTGAACTAGATTGTACTAATTTTACTTCAATTGGAGTAATTCGAGTTCGATTACACTATAATTGAGCGAGATTGTACTAATTTGACTTCAATTGGACTAATTCGAGGTCGATTACACTATAATTGACCGAGATTGTATTAATTTGACTTCAATTGGACTAA